CCCCTAATATTAAAACCAAACCGCCGAAATCCAGTTTTAATATTAGAGGGGGGGGGGCCCTTTAATAATAGGGGGAAGGGATTACTGGGCTACTGTGTTGCATGCCATATTACAAGTAACCTACTATGGGGGTATCTGGAGCCCTAAAACATAGCAGGCATCTGTAACAGGGCTGCAAATTTTGTTCTAAGCTCGCATGAATAGCTTACCCGGAACAAGGGCACAGCTGTACCACAAACGTGTCTGATCCTGGATACGATCGCCTAGAAGTGGAAAATCGTTGCAACCTCCGTGCCATTGCCCTACATCTGCTCCTTTCACACATTCAGCGAACATGTTGGGACCGGAGCAGCCACGCATTCCTATTTGGCAAGATAAACAGGAACGTGGGTTTCCTCGGGCTACAGAGTCTGTGGATTTAACAGCATCAGAGATTCTCGAGGGTGCAGGCTTCTGCAAACTAGTAGGGGAAGCCAAAGATTGCCAGAAGCACCGACAGAATGTTGATCTACTTCCGCCCGTCATAGAGGCTGCACAAGCTCAGTTCGACTACAGCATCAGAGATGGTCCCGATCCGCCGTGCCTTTGCAGAACATGCATCTGGTAACAAACACAAGACGACTCAATCGCTAGAACAACTTTTTGCAACCGCAACAGCAACATGGGAAGAGGAGATAGACTGGCAATGGAGAAGAGACAGACACGACACAGACATCACGCCAGCTCGTGGAAGAGAGACATCATCCTTGTGAGACTACTGTTAAGTCGACGGTGTGAGCATTGCCTCAGGCGGTGACAGAGAGCTCTGAATACTGCGGCTTGGAAGCGTGACCGCAGGAGGAGGGAGCTCCGACTTGATACGATTGCTTTCGGCTCGGATATGAGGAGGTAGCTGGCGCATGCTGCTCTCAACCAGATGCCTCGGCTTGGGATGACGATCTGACGTCTTCTTCCCCAGCCTCTCGAAGACTAGCGCTCTGCCACTCGTGCATCGTCTCAATTGTGACTTTGTGTCTTGCTGTCTGCTCTCGGATGCGTGGTGACCTTCTAGAAAGTTTACTTCGTCTGATAGATTGGGACCCTGCTGAACTTCAAGTTGTGAAGCGCTGTGAACCGGCTAAACCACTAAACCCCGCACCCTAGGCAAGGCGCATGAAAGACATCCTCATCGGCCGAAACTTACCCAGCGCAACGACCCCGGATTGGGTCTCGTACTTTTCTGCCTTGAGGAGCTCGAGCAAATGGTTGACACGCGGCATGAGGCCTTCCATAGCTGCCTTCTTGAAGATGAACGGTAGGAAGGTCGCAAGAAGCTCCTGGTCGCTTGCGTCATTCAATCGCTGGCGTAGCCGACCGTCTGGTTTCGACATCTTACTGTGTGGGAAATGGCAGTAAGCGCATTCCATTCCTGATGGGCACACTCCACCCTTGAAGATGTGCACACACGGTCTGGTGCAAAAGTGCGGGTGCCCGAAACTGCCGATGCCAAATCGTAGGTTGGCAGTTCTGGGGCCAGGTACTTCTGGAATCTCAAGGCCGGGTGGAGGAGGAATGTTGTGACTCTTGTCAGGCCATGCGAGTGGGATTGAGATCGTGTGTTGGCTGTGAAAGTGCCTTGGGACTACAGGGGCTGCCGGTGGCACCCATCCCCACGGTTGACCTCGGCAGCTTGTGCGTGGGGTCTGAGGTTCATCGCTTTAGCAGGCTTGCACAAAGCAAAGATTAAACGTAGAAAATATGAAAATTCATCTTTCCACAGTCCCAGGCACGAGAGGGACCTGGTACCGTCGCCAAAGCTGGTGGCATCGAATAACATGCCGCCATTTGGAAGGCACCGCAAGCTATGGAATGGATAGGTGTGAGCCTGGCTTGGATCACTCGGCTCCGCAGGAATGCTTGATAAGTGGAACATGAGGCCAATGCATGTTGAGGTGTGGGTGGTCGGGCCATACAGGGCTTATATATTATATACTAGATTAGATACTAGTATAGCATATAGTATATAGTACACAGTATACAGTATACAGTAAATAGTATGTATTATATAGTATATAGTATATAGTACATGTTACAAAGTATAGAGTATAGAGTAGATAGTAAATAGCATACAATATATAGTATGTAGAAAATGGCATACAGCATATCGAAAAGCATATAGCCATGTAGTATATAGCCTATAGTTTATGGGGTAGAGTATATAGTATATAGCACATAACATATAGTACTTAGCATATAGTAAATATTATACCCTATACACTATAGTTTACGGTATGTATATATATATATATACATATATATGTATATACATATATACATATTACATGAATATTACATTGCCCGATGTCACTTGGGGTGGGCCTCTGCTTCGTCGTCCTCGGCCTCTACGTCCGGCTGGTCCTCCGGGAAGGGCTTTGGATTTAGGGTTCAAGGGTTTAGGGCTTAGGGTTTAGGGGTATAGGGGTCTGGGGTAGTGTTTCAGGGTTGAGCAAGTTCGGCTTTGGGATTTGGTACATGGAGGTTGAGGGTATCACAAGTTCGGGGTTCGGGCTGGATTGAATCTTCCAGCGCACTTGACGGGAACGCCGCTCAACAATCGCTGCCCTTTCCGATTGACCACGGCTCAGGTTGTGGGTGTGAGGAGGCCTGTTCTGCGATGGGGATTCGCGTGAACTCAGAACTACGGTGCCGCAGTTGGGTGGCCTGGGACGACTTTCGACGGTGAGTAGGGTCTTCTGTAGTAGGTGCAAGAGAGGTGGCCCATGGCCTCAATGGCCCTGCGCAGTAACTAAACCCTAAACCTTAAACCCAAAACCCTCACCAGTCCTCAATGAAGGTTCCGGGCCGAGCGACAAGACATCGACACCGTGGGTCCAAGCTCGAAACTATGCTTCGGATGAGAGTTTGGTGTTGAATCCCCACTGCCAGCGAAACAAAACCGAAGAACAACCCTAGGCCCAACAAGCGAAGCCTCCACACCCAAACCCTTGGCGAGACATACCCTCCTTGGCTGCCGTCGCCGTGCTGAGGATCTCTTGGACGGACGGCTGGCCGTTCAAATCCTGCGATGATGTAAAGTAGGGGCCTTTGTGATTAGAATCGGGTTTTGGGGGTTCCTTATTATTATTGTAATCTAATATACCCCCAAACCCTATTCTAATTTTTAAGGCCCTCTAGTAAGGTCCCAGGTTGGGGCGTTTCGGGACTGTAGTCGCTATCAAAAGACCCCTGCTCTAATCATTCAGGCGCTGATAGGCTTTCGGGTCAAGGGATGCAAGGTTCAGGCTTGGGTGAAGCTGCTTGGGATCAGGCTTTAGGGCTTTTGCAACACGTCTTCGAGTTGTAGAAGGCCAGCGCTGAGATTGAAGGTTTCTTTGCTTTGGGGTTCCCGTTTGATGGGATATTAGACGCTCTTGCCACGAGCTCTGTCGATGCCAGCGCCTTCATCACGATCCCACCCTACTACAGCATCCATGGCAGAGCAAGCCTGTAACCTTAAGCACGAGCTCCAAACCCTCGACTCGGCCCTAAATCCCCAGAACCGGAAACAAAAGCAGCCGCCCTAAATCCAAAATACTTTATAAATCCCCAAACCCCCCGAAACGTCCCGGCCTCAGCCAAAGAGGCAAGCTCCGTCTGGGTCAACGCTAATTCCAAGGCACTCTCGGACAAAGAAGCCTCGAGACTTTGCTTTTTTGTTTCTGTAGGGGAATCTTTCAGGGATGCTGATGATGTTGAAGTTGTAGGTAGGCTTAGTATCAGAATGGTGTGAGAGTGCTCCTTTTAGACAAGGGTTCCCATAAGGGTCTCATGCTGCTTGGAGTGAGGGCCGTATGAATGTTCGAGGTTTAGGGGTTTGGGGCTAGGGATTTCGGGAGGTTTGGCGGCGTGGGCATGCGGCGTGCGTGCAAACTTCTTGCTGTTGTGATTACTGATGGTTATTGTTGTTGCTGTTGCAGTGTTTATCCTGCTATAGTTGCTACTTGCCATTATTGTTACTACAAGTACTGCTACTATTGGTGTGATTATTGTCATTGCTGCTAATTTAGTTATCGATGTATTTGTGTAGGATTATTTACTGATTCTCAATGCTTGCTATTTATTATCTGTATTGCCACCAATATCACTAGTGCTATTATTGACGCATCAGCGCATGTTGATGAACGCAATCAAGCCCTAAACCGCCCCTCAACCCGCCGAAACCCCCAAAAACCTAAACCCCTAAACCCCAACCTCTGAATCTGAACCCGAAGCCCTAATCTCTAAACCACCCTGAAACCCAAAACCACCCTAAAACCCTCAACCTCTAATCCCCGAGACCCAACAACCACCCCTTCAGAATATCCTAGAGCTCTGAGATGCCCGGCTGCCACAGCGTAGGGAGGCTTAGGCTCCTTTCCACAGTTTACGGTTTTTGGTACTGTAGGGGTCTTAATCATTGGAATAGGGCTTTGGGGGCCCACTATACTATAAATATAATAAGGAGCCCGCTTAAATAGTGTAGGTAATTATTGAGGCCTCTACATTCCGGAGTGGGCTCCTTTCCAGCAAGTTGTAAGGTTGAGAACAACCTGTGAAACATCTAAGCTTCACGTGGAACCCCTCATCAAGCTCCCAACCTCGAAATCCAAGGGGAACTGGGCTTCTACATCTTAAATATGTTAGGGAATCGAAAGGAATACTTCGACATGGATTTTAAGTTGTATCTGCAAGACAGATCCAGGGAAGCCTTTCGGCAGAGCCCCGGGCACCCTGACGGCAATCGAAAGGGATTAGGATGGCTGAAGTAGTGAAATTTCGGGCTTCGGGCTTAGAGTTTGGGTCTTTCGGTAGACTTCACTTGGTGCTCCTGAAAAACAAACCACTGGCCTTACTCCGACGTCTTGAAACCTCAGCACGGAAGACCCAAGCATCCCTAGGCCCTTTCGGGACTCTCCAGATGCATCGGTAGATAGACAAGAACCTTAGCCTGTATATGGGTAGTTCTCTAACTTAGGGTCCCTTCTAGGGTCCCTTTTTAAGCGTGCCGTACTATAGTCTGGACTGAATTTTAAAATCGACCCTAATTTAGAGGACTACCCATATGTGTGCACGTGAACATATAGCAGTGTTAACGCCCTGCATGGGCAGTTGCAGATGCAGACGGACATGTACAAACACCTTAACTATCGTGTCCGTCGGCTAGATGTACACTATACTATAGGCACAAGCAATGTAACCGCGCATGTATATATTCAACATTGCTATCACGCAGAAGCACGATGCCTGCTATAAACTTAGACGGTTAGACGGAGGTACAAATTCAAACGCACGTGCATGCACATACATACATCTCGCATCTCTCTCTCTCTCTCTTTCTGTTTATTTCTCTCTTTCTCTCTCTCTCTCTCTCTCTGTTTCGGCCTTCTCCTCCGGGAGCAAAGTCAGCGCGACAAAGCCCGGCTTCAGGCCGGCAGCGTCCGACAATGCCTCCGAAAGGCTTCCGTGCTCAGATGTTCCTCAGTGATATGGTTCAGGGTTTAGGGGTTGAGGGGTCTGGGGGGTTTAGGGTTTTAGGGTTTAGGGTAAAGTGTCTTGCAATCGTCATCAGCAAAATCATGACAATATCAGCCATCGCCGCCGAGAACATGCACCTCCTGCTCCCCACATTATAGCCTCGGTCAGCAGCAAAAGCCAGCCACCCCCCCCCCCTTTCCACCTGGCCTATATATTGCTAGCTTGCTTTCGTTCTCAATCTTCTAACCAATACCAGTGTTAGTTACTGAACATACATGGGGTATGAACTGAGATAGAATGACAACGGTCGGTACAAACTACGAAAATCTACGAAAACACATCAAGCCAAACAAGCTTTTGCAATTTAAGTTTCAGTGGTGCTACCAACAGTCACACTCGGAATACCAGCATGCACGAAGCACATCATCGTCATTGTCCTCAGCATCATCGCCATCATTCACATCTGTGTGGGCAGGGGGGGCGGGGGTTGCGCGATCTTGCGCGAGAGATCCAACAGAACGTCGACAGTTAGGGGGATATGACGGGGACGAGCACCATCCCTTGACAGTTTGCTCGGCTGAGAGACCTGGCTTGGCTGCTGTGGAAGGGGGGGGNNGGGCGGGGGCCACTGACATTGCTAGGTTGCTTTCGTTCTCAATCTTCTTACCAATACCCGTGTTAGTTACTGAATATACATGGGGTATGACCTGAACTCATACCAGCTGACCCCCTCCATCCTCCAAGCCCTGCAGCTCGCCGCGGCTCTCTGCCTCCCGCGCCTGGGTCGCCGCTGGCACACAGCCCGGAACAAGCTAAATGCAGTCTGTAGGTTTAGCCTTGAAGCAGGGCTTTCAATGATGAGTTTTCCATCAGGGGTTACTGTGAAGTCTTCTGGAACAGGCTTCAGTTGAGCGGATCGAGGAAGATTCGCGTTTTGGGGCTTTCAGTTTCGGATCGACGCTCCGTCTTTGGCATGGGCTTGTCGTGAAAGCCCCTACGCCCTCGATTCTAGCGGTTTTCAGGCCCCTCAAAAACTGACTCACAACTCACTGAGCCCAAACCTGGGGACGAGACCCACACCTGGATCTCTAGACCCAAGCCAAATCACATTCAAGTAAGGAAGCACAAATCATGGCACTTCGCTTCTTGGCCCCACATCTGCAAATCCCCGGCGGTAAACTCTGAAGCGAGAGCCCTAAAGAAATTCGCAGCCAACATGGCGCACTATGGCCCCAATCGCTACACCCTAGGCCCTCGACCTCGAGAAGGACCCCTCTTGGAACCTCAAGAATCCCAACGCTCATAAACCCATCCTTCAGCTTACAACCTAGACCTGGCTACCCGAAACCTCTACTGAACTTCACTCCGCCCCCATGAAAACCCGAAACCTCTGACAAAACCTAAACCCGAAACCTCTCGACCTTTAAAGCCCA